ATTATCTATGTAACGGCCACGTGGTGCTGACTTGACAGATGTGTGAATAATTTTTATGTTTTTATTTTCATTTCTTATATTATTTTATTTTTGTTGATGCAAATTTTTAACAATAAAAAGTAAAATCCGAAAATAGAAATTATCTTCGAATTTGATAAAATAAATACCTGAGATTAAGAATCCCTAAGCACCATACGCATAAATAAAATAGAAAAAATAAATACTACAGACTGTAAAAGTAAAATGGTGATCCCCAAAAGAAATTCTTTGAATTTGATTGTCGATTGAAGATGTTTCCTGTAGGTCATGGACAGACCTATTTAAAACCTATGTCAACCGCTACAATCAGGTCGTGCCTTCATATCCGCTCGCCGGTTGTAACTTCTCTCAACTGTCCTACAGCAACCGCCGTCAACTGCCCTCAAGGTCCTCCTCTATTGACACGTGTCTTAACCAACTCACCAACCGCTCACACCTGTTACAGCACTCAACTGGCTCGGCCGACCGCCTCTAAACACCTTACCGCCTTAATTGGGCGGCTGGCCCGACCTGCATATCCACTGCGATCTCTCTTTTCATCTGTCTTACGCTTTGCCCGACCTCTGTATCGACCGTCTCATTTTTCTCCTGACTTCCTTTTGCCTGACCTCAGTATTGGTCGTTTCATCTTTCTTCATCCGTCTTTCTTTTGCCCGACCTATATGCCACCCGACCTAAGTGCATATTGTTTTTCTTTTTTCGTCCGACCTCTCCTTGTCCGACCTCTTAATCACAGGTTTCTCCCGAAAAACCCATTTCTTAATAACACTTGGGTTGTTTGGCTTATATTTAAACCCATTTAGGATCCCACTGCCATTAACAGGCCCATTAGACTTTACACAAATCCTTAGTCCAATTTTATAAGCCCATTCTCGAAAACCCTACACATTGGTTTTTTCTTGCTAAACAACTTGCCTCCTCCTGCCCGACTCCTAAGCGTCACTTCTCGGACTGTGTGAGATGTGACGTTTAGGGGTTTTCAGCACAGTGCTATCATTACATTGTTTCGCGTCACATCACGGGGTTTATGTAAAACCCTTCTCTCTCACCCTTTCACACTTACGCACTCAAAATCTTGAAACCCTTCTCTTCTCTTTAGCAATCATCCTCTTCCAAAACCTTTTCTCCTTCGTTCTCTTCATTTCCTCTAAAAATGGCCAATCAATATATTCCTGCTCTCCCTTTTGACGGAACCGATCCCTCAGTGCCCCTTGTGGCTTCGAGGGTTCTCACCCCCACCGTTCGGCCTCATTGCATCACCAGAGAGGATGCAAATCGCATGAAATCTGTTATCTCCCAATTTTTCCCGATAATCATCAATGATGCTGCATTTAAGCTGGAACGTTTGCTGGACAGCATTAGGACTCACCTTACCGATCCTAAAGGCGTCTTTCGCAAATGGCACGCAAGACTCCTCCCCCACTTTGAAGAACAATGGAAGAGGCAAGGTATTGACAAAGCCATCCTCCTTTCGACTCAACCCCTTCATCTTCACGACAAGGCCTTGCTAGCAATGGCGGCCTTCTGACATTCCCAGATGGGCGTCTTCTTCCTCCCTGCTGGCCCTATTGGCCCGACCCTGATGGACGTGGCCATCATTGCCCATTTGCCTATAGTGGGTGATGATCCCGTTCTGGTTTCTTTCGAGGGTCGGGATCCTTCACCCAGATTGCATCCCGATCCTCTTCCCCATCCGACCTATCCCTTTTTCTGGGACTCCGCCATGAAACCTCGATCTCTATTTTCCAGTAAGAGGTCGGACAAGAAAAATCATAGATCATTTTATACCTTTAATTATCAGCCCCAATTTTTGGCCCAAAAATTTGGTTGTTGTCAGGGTCTGCCGGGACCACTAGCCCGACCTCACCATATACCTAAAAACTCGGAAGGGCTGGTGATCCCCGAGCTTATCCCGACCTATCTTTCTCAACTCACCGCCTACATCACCTCCAATTCTTACTTACCTTTCCGCCCACAACCTTTGGCGGATGAGGCCTTCCCGACCTGGTGGTCATCCACTTGGTCCCTAATTGCTCCTCCAACCGACCAATTGGTCGGGAAACTTGTCCCGCCCCTAGCCTTGGCGCTAGGTTCTCCTCGATTAGCCGCTGCTCCGAGAAGGAAAAGGCAGGCGCCCGCAGCAGGAGGGTCCGGAACGAAAAAGAAGAAGCAGAAGGCCGCCCCTGTCATTGATAGATAGGCCATCGAGGAGTATCTGGTGTCTCTACCAGTGGATACAAGTGGGCTGCCAAAATACTTGAGAGAGCAATTTGGTAAGTTCTTACTTTTCATGTCTTCCTTTTAGTATATGTCCTTTTAACTTTGATGGTTCCCATTCCAGAGGATCCTTCATTGCCACCGACCACAGTCCCGACTGCCTTTCAGCCGACCGGGACTCAGCCGACCATCACTCCAGATTCTCCCCAGCTAGCCACAGTCCAACCAACCGATCCTTAACCGACTGCGGTTCAACCGACGGTGAGGCAGTTATCCTCATCAACTTCTACCCCGACCGCCATCCAACCGACTGCCGCAACACCTACCCTTGCTGAGCAACCGAGCGTCTAAGGTCCGCCGGCCGAGGTAAGTTATTTCCTTAAACCCTTTCAAGGAGAATACTTTTCAATTTTACCAACTTTGACTCTCCTTTCTATAGGACCATCCCAACGCTCCACTGGCCATCCCTCAACCGACTCTTCTTCCTGCAGAAGAGGAGTTGCCAATGATCCGTCGGCCAGAGAAACCTTCAGGGAGGCAGACCTCTCCTCCGATTTTGCCTTCGCCTACCCCGCAACCATCACAAGTAGCTGCTAAGATATTTCTATATAGCAACACCCGACCACGCTGTTGCGCTGCCCTTGCAGCCAGCCGCCCAACCTATGGGCGAGGATCCTTTGGCTACTCTCCAACCAGTCCAACCGATCCCGCCGCCTCACGACATAGAGGAGATCTCGTCCTCACAGTCGGGCGAGGCTTCGGTCAATTTTGCCCCCAAGGGGTTCGGTTAGTATTTTATCTCATCCATTTCCTGACTTTTACTTCGTCTTCCTTGCTTAAAATTCTTCCTTCCAGGGTATGGAACTGGCCGTCACTCACCATTTGCAACCAGGAGACGAGTCGGTTACTGGCCCGACGACTCATCACGGTACCCCTGCGGCGTTCCAGTTCATGGCCCCTTTTGAATCCACGGCCGTTCTAAATCAGGTAAACTCCATCTTTATGTTGTAATGAGTTCACCACATTCCTCCATACTTAACAATTTCATTTCAGACCGCCCATGAGATAAATGTATTGGCCCGAGTGAACCTTCCGACTCCAGCCAGATCCATCATTGCACGCTGCGCCGACCTGTCTTTTGCCGACCTGAGTTTGGCCGACCTCGAGGCCTTAGTTCAGGTTGCGATAGACTTTTTGGTGAAACCCACACTGGAGTTGGAAGCCCCTCTCGTCCTTGATCTGATGATGGCAAGGATCATCGAACGTCAAGCTGAACTACCTTTGATCCGACCTCCATCATCCAAGGCCACATCATCTCAACCGACCGCTGAACTAGCCAGTCTTGAGGCATCCTTGAAGAAGGTCGATTAGGATCTTAATCTTGCCAAGGCTATGCTGGAAGAACTTCGACAAGCGCGACAAACACTTGCGACTGAGATCTCCTAAAAAACGGAAGAGCTAAGACGCCTTCAAGGACAGTTGGAGTCCCTAGATGACAGCATCCAGGAAGGGGGCCTCCTGGTGGAGGCACACTGCCAGACCCAGATGAGTCTCTGCGATCAACTCCAAACCAGCATACGAATGAGACTTGTCAGGGGACACCAGGAGGCTTACCAGCGTCGGCGGGCCACATGGTCGGAGTTGAAGTGGGCCGACCTCCGGACCGCCCTCAGGGCCCTACTTTCTTTGTAATTCTGATGTAATATGTATATAACTCCGAGACTTTGTCTATACATGCATCCTACTTTACTTTATAGAACACAAATCCTTGTTCCTTGCACTTTTACTAAGTCAGGAGTTAAACACCACAAGATTAAACACCATAGCTTATATATATATATATTCCATTTTTCTTACTGCAAACATCATCAGTATCTACCAAATCACCTTCGAGAATGGTTTCTCCTTGCATCCGCGTTCCTAGTTCCAACTGGGAAGGTTCTTAACAACCATTCCTTGTGAAAAAAACCCCATAGGTCATCATGCCGAAGACATGATACAGGTACTCAAACAACTGGACTTTAAATTTAAATTCTCTTGAAGAGGGAGGAGAACCATACATCGCACAATCCGCCTAATGGAGCGTGTATCCACCAGCTATGAACCCTTTACTGATATACTTACCCGCATTTCCGATCTCGACCATCATTTAGGTATGATAGACCATCATGTCTCGGCCATTCTCCCAGACCTTAGTTGGAACAACATTTTCTATCAGCAAAGATCAACACTTTCCAGGCTGCGTGTTCTTGTCGAACGAGAAAGCCAATCACTACAAGACATGAAAGTCCGTACCGAACAGAATCTTCAAGAAATGCAAGATCAATGGGATCGTTATCGTCTTGATCTAGACGACCTTCTGGATGAAGAACCTGAAATGGTTTCTGCGAGTTGGGATGAAACCTCTGAACCAGAAGACAATCACCCTTGTGTCACCCTTTCGGATGATGATTAAAGAACCCTTTTTCTGTAGATTCGAACCCTTTAAAGGGGTTCCTAGATTTTGTAATAAAAATTAATGACAATGTTCTGAAAATGTAGGAAAATACCTTTTCAGATACTTAGCATTAATATTTTCATGTACCAGCTTTCTTTCTTGGTTCACAATAATAAAAGTTCAATTTCCAATTACTCTGTGAATGATAAAAAGGCCTTCCCAATTGGGGGACCATTTCCCTAATTGGTCCACCTTCTTATACGTAGGCAGAATTGTCTTCCCACCAAATCTCATTCTGTCTAACCACTCAGTCCAGAGCATTCAACCGATCAGTGTCCACCTCATCCAATTGTTGCCACATTCCTTGTATATATGTCTCGTCATTACTCACTGTTGTATTAGTCACTCTGGGTGAAGATACAACAAATTCTGCTGGCAGAACAACATCTTGCCCGAACGTTAATTGGTATGGGGAGAATCCAGTGGAAGTATTTCTACTCTTTCGGTGGGCCCACAATGCCTGAGACAGCAATGTGTGTCATTTCCTTGGATTTCTCTCTACCATTTTTCGGATGATGCCGATGAAGATTTTATTTGCTGCTTCGGCCAACCCATTAGCCTGTGGTTAATAAGGTGAAGAATAATGCAATTTGATGTTGAACTCGGCCAAAAACTCAATAAATTTCTCCCCGGTAAACATCAAACCCTGATCTGTTGTAAGGGTGTGGGGAATCCCAAACCGGTAGATAATATGATTAAGTACGAACTCAATCACCTCTTTCTGCGTCACATTTTTCAAATGGACTGCCTCTACCCATTTGGTGAAGTAATCAGTTGCTACCAGAATGAATGAATGTTGCTTCGATGACGCCGGATGAATTTTTCCTATTACGTCCAACGCCCAAGCCTTGAATGGCCATGGCTTAACCATCGCCTGGAGTTCCACTGCTGGCAAATGGTTTAAAGGACCATGCCTCTGGCACTCCTGACACCCTTTAGCAAATTTGATACAATCATCAAATATCTTTGGCCAATAGAATCTCATACGATGAATAACCCATCACATGTTTAATCCTGCTCGGTGTGCTCCACCAATTCCACCATGAACTTCCTCCATTATTTTGATGGATTCTTCTGGCCCAAAACACCTCATTAATATTCCTTCGAAGGTTCTCTTATACAGAACCCCTTCAATGAGTTTAAAACGTAATGCTTTCAATCGAACGCCCACAGGAGTCGTGGAATTTGGTGATTCCAGATAGATAATAATTTTTTTTCTCCAATCAGTATCGGTATCGACACTACCGATCATTTGCTGACAAGCATTCTGGGTCAGATTATCCGCTTGTCGATTCTCTGTTCTCGGTACATGCTCAATAACCACCTCCGCAATTCTATATAATAGGCGATATACCAAATCTCGATATTGACGCAGGTGAGGATAATTACAAGCGTACCGTTTTAACACTTGATTGATGACCAATTGAGAATCTCCACAAATCACGACCGCTTGCGTTCCTTTGGCAATAAGTGCCTCCAGACCCAAAATTAGTGCTTCGTATTCCGTAGAGTTATGAGTCATCTCTTCCATTTGAAGCTGCAAACTTATCTTGCGGGCTCCAGGTCCTTCTAATATTACTCTTGCTCCTGACTTCCCTTTTGAACGAGAACCATCAAAAAACATTTTCCAGGGACTAGTACCTATATATGGTACTATTTTGTTTTCTATTGGTTCATTGCTCATAAATTCAGCCAACAAAACGGCCACTGCCTTCCCTTTTACTGCCTTGATAGGCCGATGACGCAACGCAAAGGGAGCCAGTCTGATTGCCCATTTCATTAACCTTCCCTGCATGGTTGGTCTGTGCAGAATTAATCTGATCAGATCCACTTTGGAAACCACTTCGGTTTCTCTTGGCAGGATGTAGTGCTCCAATCGAGTTCACGCAAAGACTAAGGAGTAGCACATCTTTTCGGGCATAGTATAATTCAACTCTGGTCCTTCCAGAGTTTTGCTTAAATAATAAATAGTTCTTTCTTTACTGTCTTCCCATTCTTGCGCAAGCAGAATACTTACCACATCGAAACTATTTGCAACATGCAATCGAAGGGGTCGATCTCCTCTTGGGGGAACTAACACGGGTAGTTTGGTTAATGCCTGCTTGATTTCTTCTAATTCCTCTTGCTGCTCCGGACCCCAACAAAAATCGATTGCTTTATTCTTTAACAGTTTTGTGATGGGTTTTAACTTTCCTGCAGCATTTGATATGAAATGCCTCAGGTAGTTTACCTTACCCAAAAACTTTGCACTTCTTTGACTGATCGAGGTGGTCGCATTGTCAAAATAGCCTTGGTTTTATTTGCATCGATTTCTATCCCATTTTCATGCACTAAAAACCCCAGGAAATTCCCTGCCGAAACTCCAAAAGCGCATTTCGTTGGGTTCATTTTCAAGTTGTACTGCTTCATCCATAGAAAAGCATTTTTTAAATCAACCAAATGTGTATCAAAGTCAGTAGACTTAATGATCACATCATCAATGTATACCTCCATGGACTGCCCGGTTAAATCGTAAAAAATAATATTCATTGCCCGGTCGAGTCTTTACATTCTTTTTGGTCACTGGAACGATATTGGCTAACCATTCCGCATATCGAAAAGATCGAATGAACCCTACTTTCAACAATTTCTCAATCTCTTCTTTGATCTGTGGAAGCAATTCTGGGCTAACACATCTCGGTGGTTGCTTGTATGGTTTGAACCCCTTCTTAATAGGCAACCTATGCTCGATTAAATCGCGCGTGGGCATCTCGGAATAATCCCATGCCAAACACTCCATATGATCTCGAATTACCGTTACCGTTTGCTCATGCTGGTTTTTAGACAACGAACCGCTAACCCTGACCCATCTTGGGTGTCAATTCGGTTCCTACATTGTACTCAATGAGCGGATCTTGAGTTGATAAAGAAGGTTCTGTTTTCTCTAACAGATCAGGTCATCGAAAGCCTTCTCCTTCACCAACATTATTGTTGGAACCTTCCCTTCCATATAGTCTAACCATTAATTGGTTCAAATAAAACTGCCTAATAAGCTCGTCACATTCACCTATTTCTTCCATAATTAAACCTTTAATAAATGTAAAGTTTTTGGCTAACGTCAGAGCCATAATAAAGAAAAAGAATGTTTATAATGAAACACATACCCCTGCATAGTGAGCTTACAACTCTTCCAGGGATAATCATCTATGACTACTGTTTGCAAGATAGGAGGCACGTATTTTGAATAAAGTACTGACTCTTCCACAACTTCTGTGGAGCCAAATGGATTTGTATTGGCATCCATTTTGAACACTTGATCTCCTTTCCAAAACATGATTTGCTGATGGAGCAAAGAAGGCATGCATTTGGAAGCGTGAATCCAATCTCGCCCTAACAAGACCGAGTAGGTGGTATTGGCATCTACCACAAAGAACACCGTCGAAATCACCTTCGGTCCGACTTCAATAGGAGCTACCATCATCCCTTCTGGTTTCGTTGGTTGCCCCGTGAAGCTTTTCATCTCGATATCAACTGGAGACAAATCCCCAATCCCTTTGCCCAACTTCTTCAAAGTTTTGAGAGGCATGACATTGAAGACAGCTTCATTGTCTATGAAAACCTTGTTAATCGGCTTACCACATATGTGAGCGTTAACATATAATGGTTTCAAATGCGGAGTTGCTCCTTCTGGTATAGGTGGGGGACTACCTTGTATACGTCTGGGACTGCCAGCCATTGCCGCCCATTCTGGTTCCTCCTCCTGCAACCTTACCTAGATAGGCTCTTCTTCTTTCTCGAACCATTGCATACCAGTTGGGGTCGATCTAAACTATTTTGCTACGCAATGCCCTCGTCTCCTCTGGGGAAAATTACCCAAAGATTATCTCAGGAGCCTTTTCTTCGGCAACTTCTATTTCGGGATCGATATTGATCCGTCTACAGAATTGACACCGGAAACATCTAGCCTTCTTGATCGGCCTTTCGATCTCCCCGTGCTCCTTTACTTGGTCGATCGAACTTTTTCTTTTGGGTAACACTTCCTTCTTTTCCTTCCCTTTGTCTGCTCGCCTCCCGTGCCGAGCTATATACCTGTGCTTAGCATTACGGATTTATGTACGATTCATACCTGAAAATCGGGGATCTATGTCTATTGGTAAAGGCTTTCTGTTCCAGCTCTATTTGTCATGAATTGGTTGTGGCTTGCGCATTGGTTGATCTCGCACAACCACTTTGTCCTTCAACTCTACTTCGAAGGATCCATCTTTTTCATCCCACTTTTCAGCCACTCTGTTTTCGCAGGTCTTAAACCTGTCTCCCTGATCAAGCTCCCTTTCTTTTGGCTTACGCTCCGTCCGTTCAGTATCTCCCTCTCTTTCATCGTCTCCTTGTGTGCTTTGTGAATAACGCACAGAGACTACAGCAGCAGTCACTTTTGGGAAAGGTTGCTGCTCTACTCCCATTGTCACGTATTTGAACCTTCCTGCCTTGATAGCCTTCTGTATTTCCTTTCGGAAATGCGTACATTGGTTAGTGTAATGCGTAAAAGAATTATACCACTTACAGTATGGCCTTCCCTTTATCTCCTCCCTTGTTGCTAACAGTTGTCCTTTAGGGATGCGAATTTGACCATCCGCCAGAAGAATATCAAAGATTGCATCTGCTTTAGATGTGTCAAAGGTCGGTTGTTCCCGCTCTTCTGCTCCTGGAAGGGGCTTCAATTTGGAACACACATAAGACTTGCCGTTTACAATTTCAGCCATCATTTCTTCAATGCTACTTCCCTGCTCATCGTCTGGCGCATACATTTCTGTATCGACACTGGCCATCTGGTGGACCTTGCTCCGCCGAAATTTATGATCTTTTTCTCTAAAAAGAGATTCTAACCTTCTAGCCTTGGATGCTAAACTAGCCAGATCTCGAACATCGTGGGCTGTTAAAGCCTCCCGCAGTCGGGTATGCATATTCCTGACCACCAAATTGGTCATCTCGCTCTCCTCAATGACTGTTGGGCAACGTCCCTTCATCAGTCGTATCCGCTCTATGAACTGGTAGGAGGTCTCCTCCGGCATTTGCTGGATCTCCATGAGATCTGTGAGTGATACCGTCGGGAGAGAATTAAGAACCTTGCATGAAAACCTGCCTCCAAACCTTCCCAAGTTTGCAACTGACCTAGCGGAAGATTAGCAAACCAGGAAAAAGCTGTTCTTGTGAGAGATAACCTGAACAATTGTAATTTGTGAAACGGATTGTTGCCTACTTCCCCCAACTGAGCCGTAAACTATCCCATATGCTCAATGGTCGAAGATCCATCTTCTCCCGAGAAAGAATGAAAATCTGGTGGCCTATAATTTCTCGGGAGAGGATGCTCATTGATGATTTTATCTGGAAATGGCCTTTGGTATGCCGGCATGTTCACCGTTTGAGGATTCATCCCGAAATGCACCCGCAGGACTTGAGCGATATCCTCTGGATCCACTCTGGGTGGAACATGGTCGAACACTGGAATGGGAGTATGAGTTTGACCTCCCAATCTTTCTTCTTTGGGGTCGGTTGCCTCGGCTCTGACACCCAGTGAAACATTATTTGGTATGTTAGATGAGTCTTTCCCCTGTCAACCCTAGTAGTGGCACTCGGGAAGGTGCTATCCACGTAGGAAGGCCCCGCAACATTTGCTTGTAATTTGGATGGTGACATCCCTTGTGGTGACTGAGTGGGTTGAAGAGTAACCCTTGATAAAGCTTGATCTAACGTATTCTGCATGAGGTTTTGTTGCTCACGTAACATGAGGGTTTTTTGCTCACGCAACATGTTTTGCATAGCCAGAGTTTGCTGATTGTTCAAATGTTGAACATAAGACACCCAATCGGCAGGTGCTTGGGGAACTTCCCCTTCATTTGGCATGGCAGGTGGTGAAATAGTTTCCCCCGCCGGTGTTGAAGAGACTTGGGGTTGTGAACCCGTCATATGGATCCTTCCGATGATTCGTCCGGACCTCAGTTGTATAAA